ACAAATGAAAATAAAGCCTCAAAGGGGCGGAAGCACACGAGTACTGAAAATGGATAATTAAAGTTAATCTAAGAAATTAAAATTACATATTCTCTGTTTGAGAGTGTTTGATTTGGGGTCCTTTTCTCTATGTCTATTCTTCCTTTTATATTCCCATGATGATTTCTTCATCACAAACCGCTTGGAAACTGCTTAATTACTTTCTAACTACCTATTTTCTTCATGGTGGCTAACTTATCGTGGAACTGCCATCTCTAACTGCTGACATTACTCTTTGTCGTTCAACTGCCTTCAAATGGGCTCCTTAAATCGTGGAATGTGATAATCGGCTCGATAACTGTTTCAGTAATAACTGCTATTCTGGATGACCATAATATCTCATGTATTAAGAATCTGAGCGACTCGAAGGTTCGAGCGAGAATGAGGTTGTCGCTCTGAGCGACCATGAGGCATTCCATTTGCCCAAATTCTGGACATCTTCCAGGCTTGGGCGATGATGTTAATGTGTTCATGGGCTTCCTCTATATTTACCAATAACCTCATTTGGGCCTCTATCCTGGACTCTCCAATTGGGCTTCACTCTTTGGGCTATTCAATTTGCGCTGTACTTTTAGTGTGTCAATACCATGGTTCAGGTTGGGTTGGTTTGGGGCCCAACCCGAAACCAAGTCGATTTTGGTAAAATTCAATCTAAATCGACCCAATTCTATTATTGAAATGAATGGAACCAAACCAAATCGATTTTGATATGTTTGGTTTAGTTAGTCGGTTATGGTCTATTTCAAAAAATGATATCCGATAATTTATCAACAAATAATTATGCCTAAATGAGAAGTAAGGCTACAATCTAAATTTGGAGTTTACAACAAACAATCATTCTTCTTGTTTTTCTTTTCTTATGAAATTTTGAGTTTTGATAGAAGAATTATATTTGTGTTTCAGTTATTTTATTCTTTTTCAAAAAATCTTAATTTGAAAATGAAAAAAAAAAAAAAAGTGTGTTAGTGGGTTAGGTCGGTTAATTGATGGGCAACCAACTTGACCTGTTTTTTTAATAGTTAAAATTAACCAAACTAAAGCTATTTTTTGGTTCAGATTGACCCAAACTAATCAGACTTGACTTTTTTTGGCTTGGTCTATTTATTTGATTTTTTAATTTTTTTTCCACCCCTACAAATAATCTCACCCAATTTGAAAACCACAATTTCATATAATTTGAATTATTTGTGGAACAAACACTCTCATTAATGTTATCAATCATCAATGCTTTGATACAAAACATGTTATCTAGTTGGAACTCTTTTAATACCAAGCTTGAAACTATAAAATTTTAATTTAGAGAGTGTGTTTGACTCTCCAAATTTAGAGAATCACTTTTAATAAATGCATTCAAAGTATTTCAAATTTCAATGGAGTAGAATAATATAATAATTTAGAAGAAAGCTAGTGAAAATACAAGATAGAAAAAAGAACAATAAATATTTTTTGGGAGTGCTAAAATTAAGTACTAAATATAAAGAGCCCGATGGAGTATTTAAGAATTTTTACTCTCTAAATTTGAAATGCCTATCTAAAGTGTAGAATGTGCTCTTTAAAAATCGAGAGTCTCCTGGAGATGCTCATAATGATTTTTCAAAAACGCAAAATTAAATTCTTAAACACCTTTTTGGGAAGGGAACAACAAATATATTAAGTATTTACTATACACGATTTCAATTTTAAGAAATAAGGTTTAAACATTCAAAAGTCAAGT